GATCTACCACATTGCTAACCTACGGATATAGCCACCCATGATGACATGTACACTTATAGTAGTATGTACATGTACTTAAGCATGTGTAACAAATTAATCACACCCCTGCCGCCAAGGGTTAGCACTTCAGTGCCTTTCATTAGATTTATTTTTGCCACCTTTTTCTGTAGGTGCCAAATTAGCTCCTGCTTTCACACCACTCCACAACATACTAGTGTGACCAGCCTGGCTGCTAGCTCACTGCTGAGTCCCCTTCCTGTGCGATAATAGAATATTATGTGAAGGACATCAGTCATGCCAGAGTAATATGATTCTTGTATCTATAGTTTTGTGGCAATAAGTTTCGCACCTTATTCTGTAGGTCCAACTTGGCTCCTGCTTTCACCAGCTCCACAACAACATCGTGTGACCATTTTTAACTGCCCAACATCAGTGCTGAGTCTCCATCCTGTGTGACAACACACACTTGTCTGTCTATTAATGACACCAAAAACTTTCTGATCATTTCGCTGAAGGTCCAAATTGCTCCTACTTCACAGCTCCACAACACATTGTTGACACCACATGCCAGGCTGCTGTAGTCAAGGCGAAGTCCCAACTGTGTAATAAAAGACGCCCATGGTAAAAGAACTACTGGAGGATAGTCCACTTTAATCAGAGAGAAAATCAAATCTCGTGGTTAGACAATATTGTTTTCAGTAGCACTGTCGCTATGTCGATTATCGCAAGCACTTTTAGTAGCTATATTCATTTTAAAAAAGTGGGCCCATGATGGTCCGAAAAATATTAATGCTCAGAACTTTGCACACCCCATTTCCGTGTCCTGTATAATTATACGTAGGAGCATATTATAGACATTGCTGCGTATAACATATCATGGGGCAAAATGCCACTGCACTTAATGACGAGGAACTTTTCCGTCTGGGGTGAGTCAAGCACTGCTTTTTCTCCTGTTAAGAATATTATAATAGAGAAGCAATAATTATAAGCCAACTAGTGGGAAGAGACTAGCAACAGAGAGCGCTGGAAAACGTTGCACCAGCGAAAATCGTGAAAGGCCCGGACACATGAGAGTATGCTAATGACGTCCGAGACATGAAAGTCAGAGACATTTTCAGCCTATTCAGTGACTAGACATGACACCCACACATGCGCGCATGTGTGTGCTGTTTCCAACACTGCACAAGTATTGCTCAGTACCATGATGTGATCGTCAGGGAGGGTTCACCCTCAGAAAACTGTCTCCACCTCATCCTGGTGGTTGAGCTGGGCTCCTCTTGATATCAGAAGACGAACCACTTGAGATGACCATACTGACTGGCCAAGATCAAAGGAGTCCATATGCACTGATGAAAACCAAGACAGCAGTATCATGATGTGTGGAACTAACAAAAGAACGCCATAATTTCTATGGTAATTCTGTGGTTGAACATGCGTACAGTAGCTAAAAAGAGGTATGTAAGGTGGGTTGCTGCTTTTCGTGTGACTTTGGACTAGATACACACCTGAAAACTTCGATGAGAAATATCCATGTGTCATAGAGCATGCAAATTACATATTTTATAGTGAAACAACGCAATAACTTTGCTAGATGGTTGGTACACAGCATGATCAGTACCATCTACAGTGCACATCCATTATTGATAGAGATGGTGAACTCCTCAGTGGTTAAAATGTAACATACCCGGTCCTCAGTCTGGATATCAGCTCCACTGTTGAGAAGAGATGCAGCTCTCATCACTTGTCCTGCTCTACCAGCAATAATCAGCTCATCATTCTGTAGAGCAAACATAACTATAATGAGTGTACTAAGTAACCCGGTGAAGAAAGATATCTGTGCCAGTGTTTTTTTAACTATGATCTTGCCCACTTGAGTCAGAGTATCATACTCTGTCATGAAGCCATATCCATTATAGCACAGTGGCAGCTTGTTTGAATCCCCAGATGAAACGTGAATGGACTTTAAATTACAGTGTATATAACTTGCATACCAATTTATTTCTCTGGGCCTGTATAAGGGATAGTGGATGGCCATCCACAGTCACCTCGGTGAGAAGATGTGTGGCTTTGAAGTCTGGAGTGATGGCTGCTAGCACCCAGCCCACTGCACTGGAAGGAAACCTAAGCTAACCACCACACAGTTTCGACACTGCCCCATGTAGATGCTGTGAGAGCAAGAGTTGACTCTTTACAATGATCGCCTTGTTGAGCTTTCGGACCTTCGGAGGGTGTACTGGGATCAGGCTTGTCCAATCTTAACAATCATGCTGGAGAAACCGTTCATTACTTCTCCTCATCGACTTCATTTGGTACGCCTTTTTGTACACATCTATGGTTGTTGCAATTTCGAACTCCTCGAGCATTCGCAAAAGTTATCATTCGCTTTGCAGTTTCTTCTTCGCATAATCGATTACAATATGTAGCAAAATCTCATTGTTGCGATAATCGACATAGCGACAGAGTATGGCCATTATCTTTCGCGTATCTTTTGCTTCAATGATACATTTCATTTTGTCAAAGAATTTGACATGGAGGGTGCTTTACGAACAGGTAAGAGCAGGAGATGGCTGCGAAGCTCTCCAAAATGGCTTTATTCTCAGATTCTTTGTGCTGATTTCTATCGAACAACATGCCGCATGCAGCTTTGAGAATGTTTTTCGAAGCTCCTGAATGGTGGACTTGACTTTCCCACACTCCAGAAGGAAGGGGCGGAAGTGGTGGGGGGAGAGGTGGAGGTGGACGGGAGGTGAGAGAGATTGTGATGATGATGGGGCAGGAGACTCCTCAGAACTAGTGGCTGGTGTGGTGCCTGAAGACGCAGGGACGTGTAGAGATGACTAGCGGAAGGGCTGGCTGGAATGGAGATTGTAGCTGTTGCTGGTTTGTTTGGACGACGTGGCGTTCAGTTTCTCGACTAGTCTGCGTAGCTCGGTCGGTGGAGAAAGTAGATAGCGAACTCAGCAACCAGTGGCTCTTCCTGTCCGACGTAGGATTACAGCGAAACGCCGTCATAAGCTGAGCCCGGCCTGTGTGCGCGGCGCGTGGCTGCCGCCGCCGAGGATTGCCTCGCGCGGCCCTCTGGAATGAAGGCTTTCTCCACGAGGCAGTTCGAAAACCACTGTAGATTGTCTCCGACCGTAACCGTGTCAGTGATGGAGGTGAGATTCGTTACGAAGCGCTGTAAGCTCGGCGCTCGCCGTTGTCGCCACTGATAACGTAGCGTAGCACAGATGCTAGATTAGTGTCACACATACGCACCCACCCCCCGGTAAAGTATGGGTATCCCGTTTTCATGGGCATAAACAAACTAGCGAATGCGGCGCACGCGCATATGGTTGACTACACGCGCCCATAGCGCGCGTAGAACGCGACAGAGCCGCTGCGCTCGTGCGCGCGTTATGGCACGCCAAACGTACAAAACTCGGCCAAACTGTAGAGCGTTCTCCATATCTGTTATGTACTACGTGCGAGGGACATACCGTGATTTCAAGTGAACCGAGGCCTTCCGCGTTTGTAGTGTCCGTTCCTCCTTCCTTGCCATGTACATATAGATAGCCAGGCAGCTCACGCCCGCCCACAAACCCATTGAAACTCCTACGGAGTACATGACATGTTTAGTGCAGAGCAAATCAGCTCCGTATACGCGCATTGCGTTTCCAAGCACTAACATACTAACAAATCTGATTGGTCGATTCGAATCAGCTATGCACTAAAGACACTTTAGACTACGGTAACACGCAATTGACCAATCAGATTCCGAGTTTAGAGTTTAGTAACTATTTCGCAGCCCTGCGCACGTTTCTTACGCGTTTTGGTCATGGCAACCACGCCTTCAAATCGAGAGACGCCGTGCGAGCCGAAGGCAAACGTAGCATCTGGAGAGGTTCTTTCTCACGAACACCCAGGTACTCCGTCTTCTAGAAGGAAGCGGTGCATGACTACAGGGTCCTAGCTACAGCTCGAGCCAGACGCGCACGCTAGCGGTGCCCAGCGGCCCCGCCTACTTTCGCGTTAGCGTGCCCCCCGCCTAGAACAAACACTCTACTGTTGTATATACGCCTGCTCGAAATGGATGCTGGCCGCTGCAAATAGCCTGCCTATTTCCAGTTCGTCCTCATCAAAAAAAACTCCATATAATCTGTGACCCGAGTAAGCCATCCATCCGCAATGCCGCGTGCTTTGTTGTGCGTTGCTAGCGCCTGCGCTCGCCTTGGGAACTACGCGATTTAGTGAGCCTCGGGGCCCTGTAGTAGCGCCCTCGCTGCGCTCGGGACGCCGACAGCCCCAGGGCCCTCGGCTCACTAAATCGCGTAGTTCCCGCGGCTCAGTATACCTAGAGCGTCCCACAGACTCCCCAAATCGTCCTAGAACAGCGAACCCCTAGGCCCTATAGAGCGTCCCAGCGCACTAAAACTACTCCATACTACGCATGCGCCGTAGTATGGAGGAAAGTTTTGTTCTTGCCCCTTGACCCTTGGTTATAATTATTTGTATGTGCAGAAGGGACCAGCCCCATTGTCATGAGATTCACCAATGCTGGCCTCTAGAATTTTTCGTTTTCGGAGTCACGTTCTCGCCCACCGTCGGCCTTATGAGAGGCGATGACGGCACGTCAGTCACTCCGCTGCAAGAACATCCTTCCTCTCCCTACTACACTACGGGTACAACGCTACGGGCGCATCGCGTAGGCTCTGGAGTTTCTCTCAAGACGCTCTAGGTGTGGCTGTTCTAGGACGCTCTTGAGAGTCTGTGGATGCTCTAGAGTTTGGCCGTTGTAGGTGCTCTATATAAGGCCGAGTTTTGTTACGTTGGGCGTGACGACTTGGCGCGAGCGGGAAGCCAGACTTCGCGCGTCACGGCGGAAGCTAGACGTTCCTCCTACAATGACGGAAGTTACACACTTCCTTTGGTGACTAATGTACATTCCTAAGCGTGCTATTTACATTCTTAGCGTGACCGACACGTACGTATATACCCGGAGTGTAGTGTATAGTAGTGTATAGTAGTGTAGTGTGTATATGTAGTTACAGGGGGATTCCCCAGGGGTCGTGTCCCTGCGTATACGGGAATTTCCCTACGTAACACCGCGGTGATTGGTTGATAAACCGCGCTAATTTTGAATTTGGACGAGACAACAGGATGGATATGGCAGTCACGAAGAGCGGTACGGGAGCTAGAGAGGGAGCTGGACTCCCTGCGACTCGTGTGGAGGAGAAGGATAACACGGCGGTGCGGGCGGCCGAGCTGGGCCAGGCGCTCCTGAGAGAGAACGAGGCTCTGGAAGAGAGACAGAACCAAGTGAACAAGGAGGCCACTCTGAAAATAGAGGCAAGGGATATCCTCCGACTGTTTTATCTGATCCTCTCTGCCCCCCCCCCCGGCAGGAGCTGGAGCAGGAGAGGTTCTCCCTGCAGCAGAAGATGGAGTGCCAGAAGGCGGCGTTGCAGGCGGTACAACACGAGGCAGAGTCTGCCAAGGCTGACCTCCGACAAGAGTTTGAGATGAGGGAGGAGCACCTCAAACAGGTCCTACAATATAGCAATAATGGTGTCCATTTACGTGCACGTGACAATGTCGCAATGTACAAAATGATCTGTTGTGAAGCTATTCCACAGATAACGATGTAATAGTTGACGGGTGAAATACCAACTGATATCTTCTCAAACCTTGACCTACTATGACTGCAGGGCCACTCCAAGAAGGTGACTGAGACGGAGCTACTGCTGTTTGACCTGAGAGGGGAGAACGAGAGACTGGAGACCCAGGTCAAGTCCGCCAGAGACAAGGCCGCAGGGCTGGAGGAGAGACTCAGGGAGATGGCCGAACAGGCAGATAGTGCCGCAGAGTCTTTTCACCTCCAGCCAGAGATCAGGGAGATGGAGATGATGTGTAGGCAAGGTCTGTCTTGCCCTGAATTTTGCTCTATTGCAACGTGTGTGCGTTTACTCTGTGACACCTATGTATGTATGTATGTAAATTGCCCTTATTTTGTGTGTAGCTTGCAATTCAAGGTTAAAGCTACACCTTCCCATCAAATTACTGTACGTTGGTAGTAGAAAGTCCACATTTTGCCGTTTGTTAATGCTGTCCTTTATCTATTGTACCCCTGACACCCTACTACATACCATCTTAACTTTATTCCCTCCCCACCAGAGAGGAGTGAGAGAGAAGAGGCTCAGGCCCAGTTAGCCAGTCTCCAAGAGGACTACAGACTGCTGGAGATGGAGTTGGAGGAGGCAGCGGGGAAGGTGGAGAGACTGACTGACGAGTGTCAGGAGAGATCCGACCAGGCCAACCAGTGGTACAAGACACTTCAGGTACTACATTGTAGTGATGTATTACGTATGTGTATCAATGTAAGCGAAACCATGTTTTGAATGTTAACAGTGGTGTTGCGATAAAGGACCCAAAAACCTCACAGCTAGGTGTTTGACTGTCTTCGAGTGCCCTGCATAGCATGCGCGGTTTTATTGTGCCAGTGTCACGAAGATTTCTGTTGGGTGGGTTCAGCTCAACCTAAATGTGATCCATTATACACAAGGGCACACAACCCTTCTCGTACTTTGTAGTCAAGAGCAGTGTATAGCTACCAATGAAGAATGCCACCAAATGTTTCACAACTGTCGTTTGTTGCGATGTGTGATCACAGGCCAGTAAGGAGCAGGTGCTGGAGCTGAATGCCAAGCTGGAGTCTCTGAGAATGGAGAGAGGGAACAGTCGCGGGTCCGCTGGAAACTCCCTCTTCGGAGAAGTGAGGAAGACGTTGATACGATGTAGCACCCCACACCCACTCGTGCTTCAAATATGCACGTTGTATATAAAACCACCGAATAGTGGGTCTGGAGGCATAAACCCATATAGTTGTACAGAGGGAGTTTTGTGTTTATGTAGCAGTAACTTGTCTTGTGGAGTTGAAGGCTAGGTTCACAATACATTGCGCCTTGTCCACGTCAGGTGGATGACAGGAGACTTCAGGTGGAGAGAAAGTACGTGTCTCTTCAGGTGAAACACGACAGTCTTGAGAAACGACACAACTCCATGTCCCAGCAGTACAAGAGACTCAAGGTGAGCCACACCCAATACAATACCTATACAGGAGAGCACCTTCACAAAATTTCACATTTTTTTACCATCTGTGAAGAATTTCTCTGTGGATTTTTGACTCTGGCGAATTTTTGCCTATGAACAAAGTCCCCAGCATGGAGTAACAGTGTTCTCTCTCTCTCTCCCTGTATATACAGGCAGAGATGTCGTCTCTCCTGTGTCAGTTCAGTGTGGTGGGGGGCAGATGCAGCCCACATAAAGAGACTGGAGGTGGCTCTGAGACAGGCTCAGTCCGAGAAGGAATCCCTCGTCACCAAACTACACAAACTTGAGAAACAACAGGTCTGTATATATCATAATTTTCACAACAGGTTTATATCCTAATTTCCTCACACTATTCTTTGAAAGGGGAATAACCTCTGAAAAAGGACTCTCGAAATAAAGGAAATCTCCATTAGTGGACAATTACCCATACATTTAAGGGAAGCTTCTGAATTAGGGATACTTTTGATCCCCTAAGGTGTGCTTTATTCAGAGGTTTGACTGTATCAAGTAAAATTGATGTTGATTTGTTTGAACATTGCATAAACCTAGATGCGTATTATGCAGTTTTCCCACTCTTCAGTGAAAACAGAAAAAGGACTGCTAAAATGTTGTATTCTCCTCTGTCTCACTCATGCAGGCGAGTGTGTTGGCAAGTCAGGAGAGGCTGCAGTATGTGGCTGCATTCGGTGACAAGAAAGAGTACATTGCCATCATTGAGACTCAGCTCAGGAACGCCAGGTCGGACAACTACACCTGTAGCTACAACAACTGAAGATTAATGTATATGCATAGCACATGCACGAAACTCTGTCTTTGCATTTCATTGCATGGTTCTAGTCCAACACTTGAGTAAGCCCATTTATGTATACAGTCTAGTTTTCTATCTCATCTGTAATAATTGGTAGAAAAATGGGTGTAGAACGTAATAATAGATGTACGTATAGATTGATCCTGGCCAAACTGGATTGCTATCAGAAATTGTTCAAATCAGAATGCACTAAGAGTATTCTGGTGGCAAGTACGTAAGAACTGGGTACTAACCCCCACTCTGTAGGAAGGAGAACAGTTCCCTGACGAAGGAGAAGGAGATGAAGGGGCTCCAGCTGGTGTGGGAGACACAGAAACTACGGGAGACGGAGGGAAAACTCCACCGCAAGGAGCAGGAGATGGCACGCGGCCAGAAAGAGGTCTCGGTCTTCAAAATGAGGCTCCACGAAATGCAGGAGAATCTGGATAAAGGTGAGAGAAGAGAATCCTGCCACAGAGTCTCTGTGAATGTGTTGTTACAGTCTCTATAGACAAGACTGTAAAGGGCACAGGCTTTCCATTTCATCTAGCCTCTTAACCTTATTCCCATTTACTTTACATGCCGATTTTATGTGGACTGGAGACTGTCAGTGCGCATAGCGTTAGCTGTACTGCTGTATAATACCAACAGCAGTATATCTTTGTATACTACGTATATACTCCTTCCCCTGTGTATCGTGTGTGTATATAGCTGAGTCAAGTTGCAAGCAGCAGGAGGCCCAAGTCCAGTTGTTGGAGAGGGAGCTGGAACAACAGCAATCATTACGGGGACCCTCTCGCAGAAAGAAGCACCATCCCTCACCAAGACTCCTCTGCCACCTCTTCTTCTTCCAGGGACCCTAGCACAGGTCTCAGTAGCAGTAGAGACCAACAGTCCCAGTCTCTAGCTGGAGAACTGGCAGACTGTGACGAGAGTGTCCGAGAGGGGAAGGTGGTAGTAGAGGGAGGAGGTGGAGGTGGGAAAGAGAAGGAGAACAGAGTGACAAAGTCCCCCAAGAGAGAGGGAAGGAGGAGGAGTGTCAAATTGGGAGCTATCAGTTTCCTGGAGGAGGTTGAGAGGGAGTTTGAGAAAAAGGCCAGCCAGCAGGCTCCCGTGAAAAACACACAGACTGCTCTCTATGGAAACAGACTCAAGGTATATAAACCATTCAGTACCATGTGCCATTCATTGACTGTTTATATTCTGTGCAGGGTGGTTACTGTGGTGCACCCGTGTATCCAAGGGGCACTGGACAAGGCTCGAAAGCCAACCAATGTCCACAGCAATAATGTTATGTAAACCAATGAATATCGTTTTATGTTGTAGGTTGGTAATTACTCGCGCGCGCCGCAGGTCCATTCTCGACTTTTCTTTCGCTGCTTGCTCTGCTTTTCATCTGCTTAGCAATGGAAGTGACAGACGTAGACGGAGTTCCTACGCATGTCTTTAGTCTGGAGGCGTCTCGAGGCAACGACTCTCTCCTCTACATCATCCCTGGGAGCCCGGGGATGGCTCACTTCTACGTCCCCTTTGCCTCGCGGCTCTTCCAGCTGGGCGGGGGAGCGTACGGCGTTAGCGTAGTCTCGCATGCTGGACACTCTCCAGGGGTGTACAAGACCCCACTACCACCGTCACAGGACGAGCAAGGAGCTACTAGAGACTGGTTCTCCCTGGAGGATCAAATCTCCCACAAACTTGCTTTCCTCCGAGACAGAGCAGAGCAGAAGAAAACCCTGTACCTCGTGGGCCACTCCATTGGTTGCTACATGATTCTAAAGATGCTGAAGCACATCGCCCCTTCTCGAGTCAGGAAGATTTTTCTTTCTCTTCCCCACAATCGAGAATATGGCATCCAATCCAAATGGAGTGTCCCAGCGTCCACTGTTCACCACATATCGATCTCCTTTCGTTGGCACTGTTTGGCTCTTGGGAAGCATCCCAGAGTTTGTCAAACTCAAAGTCCTGAGGCAGTGGTTCTCTAGCTCCCCTCCTGAGCATGTGGACTACATGTGCAGGGCAGTAATGAACATTGATAGCAGGAGCATATACAATATCCTCTCCATGGCTGATCAGGAAATGAAGGAGGTAGTGGACTTGCCTGTGGACACTATTAGAGAGGTTATAGACAAGCTAGTCTTCTACTATGGAGTGAGGGACAAGTGGAACAGTGAGAGGATGTATGAGGAGATGGTGGAGAGGTTCCCTGGGAAAGATATCAACCTCTGCAAGTCTGGCTACTCACATTCGTTTGTCATCGACTCCTCCCATCCAATGGCTGAATACGTTTTCAACAAACTGCCAAAAGATGAATGAGTGCATATGCAATGGTATGTAAATGTATTTATTTCACTGGCACTAGTATCCAAGACAAGAGGCAACATTTATGAGTGCAGAGGTACCACCATCTCATCTCTGGTCGCTGGTTTGAACGACTATGCCAGCTACTTGACATCTTTGTCTCACGCACGCTCTAGATTTAGTTCTAAGTAGTGCGCATGCGCGAGGTTTAAGGAGCCCCACCCACAAACTCGCGGTAAACAAAGGAATCGCGCGCGCTGTTCCTGCTTGCTGCTGGACAACGGTCTTGGTACGTTGATATATGAAACACACATTGCCGGACTCCTTACGATTTCTTAGAATCACTAAAAGAATCGTTGGGTCGATTGTTTTATTATCAAGCCGATTTCTTACTACAATTTAGGTAGCTACTGATAATGGCCTCCGCCCAAATATCGCCAACCGATGTAGTAGCTGCTCTTGATGAACTGACAACAGAAAAGGCAAAAGAGCTGTTTTTTCATCTCGAGGTGAAACTGAAAACTCTGGATGACATTGACACAGCCCACACTGGAAGCATGCGCAAGATCCACTACGTCCAGGCCTGGTTTGACCAGGAGGTGGGAGCCAGTTGGGAGAAGATTGTGGCTGGCCTCAAGCAGATAGGAATGAAGGCATTGGCTGAGAGTCTGGCCACTCGAAAATGTTTGGGCAGTTTGACCCCCGACCTCCGCTCCTCTCCAGTAACGACAGCCCCAGCCCCTGAGACAAGTGGTCCTCAAACCAGTGGATCCACTGAGCCCTCCCTCGGTCCCGTGGCACGTCTCTCCTCCCCCTCTGACAGGATCTCCCAGGTGAAGGCTGAGATCGACCGACTCAGAGACACCTTCTCTGACCTCGTGTCCGACACGAGAGATGAAATGTGCATCAGAGCAAGTGTAGAACCCCAGTTTTTCAAAAAGTTCCGCGATCGTCTTTTGGATCTTCCTGTTTCCCAGAAATCCCCACATGCTAAGTTCTTCGATGAAAAGCTAGATGATTTTCTGATGGCCAAGAACATGGACAAAATATTTGCCATCCTCAGACGCTACAGTAACTATCGTAACTATGCAGTTCTGCGTGAGGTGGTCAGGAGGTTCTGCGAGGCTGTGCTCCAGCGAAGGATGCAGGAATACTGCAAGTCTCTCGAGAATTTTGAGAAAGCGACATTTATCGATGTCTACCTCAAAGCCATTTCCGCCGGTGTCGTTCTCACCTCAAAATTCACCAAGATGACGGTGAAAATCAACAAGCCAGCATCCGAATGCACGCTCCATGAAGTTCGCAAGTTGAAGGAGACAATCGCAGAAAAAGAATCTCTTCAGCCGTACAGCATGTACATTGAGAAGAGTCGATTGGTTCAGTTCAGCTAAAGCTGGGGTTCCCTGCCAGCTGTGTGGGGTGGATACTGGGAGTCTTGACTACTGAGTTTCTTGCCACACATCTCCTCTCAGACGTGGTCATTCGTCAACAAAACCAGTCAACATCTCTCCATCAAAACCACCTCTCAATTTTGGAGAGAACCCAAGCGGAATTGGTATGTGAAGTGCAAAACTCTAATAATGGTTATTAAGGCCCTGTTTATTTTATGGAGCTTCATGCCTGTATATAGCTCCGGTCCCAATTGCATAATCTACTTCCATGTTTTGTTTACTTGCTTTGCCTTGCCCGTTTCTTGCACAATCAAGCTCCAAGTCTGTTCCACCTAACACAGTGTAACAACACTGATTACAACTTTGTTTGCATATGGCTGGACATCTTGAAATTATAGCCTTGTGTGATGCATTGTGGTGTTGGTACATTCCGGTGCACAGTTAGCATTGCAGTTTCGCTGACCCAAGTTTTGTGGGCACAGGTTGACTTGGTAACCCTCCCAGGTTATGACATGTTTGATGGCTAGGTGTATTTACACACGTTAAATGTGTGTTTCTGTATATAGAATAAGGAGCTGTGTACTGCCAGTGGAAGAGGAGACATGATGAGAGTTGTGTCTCTTCTCAACAGTGGAGCTCATATGGAGACTGAGGATGAGGTTACACTCCTGTACTTGCTATATAATTCTAGGCATACTGTAATCAGTGCGAGTGTGCATAAAGAAGCTAAAAGCGACGTGGCCCCAAGCAACGTTTCTCTCATTCATGATGTTGGTCATTACTCACTATGCAGCTTTGCTACTAGGCAGCACATTTCCGATGGAGAACCTGACCCTATCAGATAATTGGGTTTTTGACCGAAGTCATATACAATTTTGTTTCTCTACTCGCCGTTTCAGAGTTATGGCTTACTGTAGCACCACATGACACAAACACTTTTCCATTATAATGGTTTTCTTCATGTGAGATATAGGCGTATGTGACTTGTCTATTTACTGTGTGTCTGTCCTACTATTGGTTTTGTCAGTGGTCATTGACTCCTCTGGGCTCTGCCAGTTTCTATGGTCATCTCCAAGTGGTTCGTCTCCTGATATCAAGAAGAGCTAATCCTAACTATGTCAATAAGGTGAGATAGCTCTGATGAGTTTCAATCTTTCATGCAGGATTATTGATTATACACTGTTTTATGCCACAAACTGAGCGAATCTGTTTGATAACTTATGCAATTGTCTGAAAAGTGCTTTGCCTGCAATAGCACTCCCTTTGTAAATGCTGAGAATGTAACAACATCTCATGAATTTCATTTGGGAGTCAGTTGCCATAACCAACCTCGTGAATTTTGTAAGTTGGTAACTGTCTGGACAAGACAAATACTTTGTGCCTATGTTCCAGATGGGAACACATCTGGTGCATCTGCTGATAGTGAGAAAGTATAGCAGGTACTGTAGCACACCTTCTCCAAGGGGCTGTCCACAAAATAGATGATACAATCACTGAATTAGGCGTGCAAGACTTTTCTTTTTCTCGTCCTCTTTTGCACATATGTATTTACATGTGACACTGAAAGTTTCTGCTGTTCGTGTCTCAATAGAGTTGGGGTCTCCTTTTCGAACTTTAGTGAGCAATATACATCTGTCACACAGGCTGGACTTACAGCTCTCATGAACGCTGTGAATGGGGGAAGGAGCGAGTGTCACAGAGGTTAATATCTCTAAAAGCTGATGTGGATTTTCAAAGCAAGAAGAATGGAAATTCTGCACTGATAGAAGCTGTCTCACGTAGTCTCACTGATGTTGTTGTGGAGCTCATTAGAGCAAGAGCCAACATAAACCTACAGAACAATGTATGAAAATTGGCCAGTACTGTACATGCAGACTCAATGATGTAGTCTCTGAACTAACTCATTACATAATCTAGTATATTATGCATGTGGGGATTTGGGAGACTCAGTAAGAAAGAGATTGCGTAGTCATGTGCAAGTCTGGTAGCGCCACACATGTATTGATGGTATCATTGTCGTGTTCTTTGTTGCACAGGATGGGACCACAGCAATAATGATGGCAGCCTCACGTGGTCACATTGATTTTGTTGTGGATTTTGTGCAAGAAGAAGCCAATTTGGACCTTCAGAAAAATGTATGAATACATCCTCCACCCTGTCCCTTCAGATTCCCTCCCTGTGAAAACATGTAGCAGTTTGACCTTAGGAGAACAGAATTCATAAATATTTTCTCACAGGATGGGAATTCAGCACTGATGCTAGCAACCATTGATGGACACACTGATATTGCTGTGGAGCTGGTGAAAGCAGGAGCCAAGTTAGACCTACAGAATAAGGTTAACTAGCCGATACTGATGGTGTCATTAAATACTGTATGTCTTATGTTACGCAGAATGGGAACTCAGCGCTTATTATAGCAACCAGAGGTGGTCACAGTTGCAGAGGTGTTGTTGTGGAGCTGGTGAAAAAAAGAGCAAATCTAGACCTTCAGAACAAGGTCCAAACCAATAACCAATCCTACTACACCTCTAAGACACGCTGTAATACCTGCTTCAATTAACCTTCAGTGCACATGTGCAGCAAGGGTCACAGTCTGTGTGTCTATCACTGCTATTCTGGTCAACGATTTGACCAAACAAAGATACCCCATACAATGGCATTGGCTTACCTCTACTTAGTGTTTGCCTGTTTAATTCGTGCAAGCACACCATGGGTTTGCACTTTATTATGGACGTACTTTCAGTTTTTGTTCATCTCTCCACAGAATGGAGACGCAGCAGCCATCTTAGCTGTAGAAAGATATTTTCCAGTTATTCTAAGGGAACTAGTGAGGGCAGGGAGTGACCTCAACCTCCAGAACAATGTGAGATACACAGTTCCTGTGGGCACTACACCACATATCACCCTCAGTCCTCCATATTAGGAGGGACTCACTCCACTAATGATAGCTGTCAGGAGAGGAAGAAGTGACATTACTAACATTCTACTGGAGGGAGAACACATCAACCTGGACATTCAAGAGAAGGTCAGGGTTTAATGCACCTGTCTCATGTAGCCAGACTCTTACTTGCCGGGAGAAGAGTCTGGTCCACTGACGTAGAGCATTTGCTTTAGTGCTCACCCGGCTTCCAGGGAGCAAAGGAATTTGAATGTTTTGCATGACTTCTATCACAAACTGCATAGCTTGTTTGGAAATGGATCCAGTGTGTGTACTATGCATGTGCAATTACCGGTATGGCATAATAACTGGGCCACATCCACCAAGAATGTGTAGTAATTTGCAAGCGAGCAATGTAGACGGCTTCCATACCCACAAGAAATCCCTGACGTTTATCCTTACCAGACAAAAGACAATGAATATTGTCCTCTCCCATCCACAGAGCACTGGCTGGTCAGCTCTCCATTTCTCTGTTGAGAGAGGAGACTCAGCTACCACAGAAGCACTGCTCAAGGCAGGAGCTAATCCTCGCCTCAAAGACAAGGTATATTCCAAAGAACTGGGACAAAGCGTGGGTTGGAGTGAGGACGGAAGAAGAGAGAGAGCGATATGGACGAGAACTAGAGAGCGAGAAGACATCTAGTATCCCGCTCTCCCACTCAATCTCATATCATACACTACTCTCTCTCTCTCTCCCTAATCTACTATCTCTTACCTCTTACTCTCTTCTCTCTCTATTCTCTCTATCTT